GCGCGTGGTCGGTCGCCTCACGTCGCGACATGAGATCCACACAGCCCTCGAGTAGGTCCGCAAATGCCGGTCTCACCATGAATGACTCAGGATCCGCATGAACGACTCAGTGAACGTCTGAGCTTAGATCAAATCCCACAAAATCCGAACCGTCTACGGTAGACTCTTGATTCATAAACACACCCCACACGATGAAGGTTTCGATATAATATGGGTTTTAAGGGATCAAGGCCCATCATCCGACTGAGGATCCTCAACTCATCCGACTCCCAAACGTCTTCCATGTCTTCTCGGCCCACGGCCGGGTTCACCCCGATCCGATCCAAGGTGCAGCTGAGCAAAAGAAACAACGCAGCGCTGGTCTTGGGCCCAAACTTCACGCCGCTCTCCAAGACACTCCTGCGCGATGAAGGGCCCAGGCACACGTTGCAGGTGGGGTGGGGACGGACCGTCCACGAATGCGAGAGAGTTTTTGGAGCTTCTCGGTGCAGCTAGAAAGCAGACACGCAGCTAAGCCTCGATGCGGCCCCAATAATGAACACCCTGAAGCGGATTTCAGTTCAACTCTGGAAGGGCCAGTATGGGTAAGTCACATCAAACAAGTTGCTCTGGTATTTGTGCTTGACGAGGTTCGTTTGAATAGAGTGTTCGTGTGGATAGAGTGAACACGTTGCTAGTCGGAGAAGCGACGGAGCGACCGTCACAGACTGTGAGGCCGACTGTGAGGGCCGCCTGTGAGGCCTCCAATGTTGAATGGGTTGAGTGGCAGGCAAACACACCGAAGAAAACTCCCTGGCTTTGCTGAGACTCAAACCAGCTGAGGTTGTTTGTTGGATCCATTTCTTTTTAGCAACTTATATCTGCTTGCCGTATATATAGGTCCCTATAGGTCCATACGACATGAGATACCGGAAGAACCGGAAGCTCTCTCTTCTGCTTATTGTAACATACATGTTATGATTTCTTGTGCATAAAGAACAGCTGAACTTCCGTCGTAGTCCAGCCAAGGAATCCCAGTGTTCCTTTCCGGTATCACCCCACACAGGAACCAGGAGTCAGTTGCGGGACTCTCGAAGCATCAGATTCCCTTCCGATCCATTCAATACAACTGAACATCAAGATAACTTGGGTTTATCCTAATACCTGGTTTCAGTGGATGATGATGGTTAGTAAAGGCCTTGTTCAAAAATAGTAATAGTTGTTTACAACATGTCGCCCTGTAGCCCGGTTTCCCACTTGCCTTTCAGAGTCAAGTTCAGGGCTTTTCAACACCACCCAGGCCTTCCAAAAGGGACAGCCCTTTCCAATTGCGTGGATCACATCTCACACAACTGCCCAACTGCCCGCCTTCTTAAGCCTGGGAGAAGGCAGCAAGCGATGGCGCGGGGAAACCCTCACCACTGAAACAACTCCCCACTCATTGCTCCCGCGGAAGAACACGCACTATGCGGTATGATCATGCTTGGACTGTGGCACCCCAGTGACACAATTCTTGAAGAGGTTCAGGGAGTAGGGCAGGCCTCTTTGAAACTTCTCAATGAGGAAGTTACTGGTCCTTTGGCTGGGTAGGCCCAGCCAACTCTGCGATCAAGGATGAAATTCTTGCCCAGGGAACTCTGGCAGTTGCAATGATTAAGGAACAAAATCACCACAGGTGAAAATCCATTCCAACCCAACTCACCGCACGCGCGCTTCTTTGGCCAGGAAGCTATGTTCTGTGAACAAGGTGAGGTTTCCCAGTTCAGAACGTTGGATCATTGGCGCGTCGGCACTCACCGTGGAATTCATGGGGTACAATCCTCGGGCGGCGCGGCGCGGCTGGGGCTCAGAAGGTCCGAAAGACTCGGTTCTCGACTTCGAGGACTTTTAAAGTCGCCCCTTTGGATGGCGCAGGGTCAATGAGTCGATAGATGTAGAACGATGAATCGAAAAAGAAACAACCCAAGCTGTGCTGGTTTTAACCTCTTCGCATGGGGTGAAACCTCATCCACCAATGACGAAAGTCTTCGTTCTTCTACAGCCCACCGTTCACCACGGTTTCAGCCCACGCCGAATCCTCCGATCCTCCCGCGATGAACACTTCGATTGGTGTCGAGGACTGGTCTACAAACGAGGTCGAGGACTGGTCGCAGTGGGTGGTGAAACAACATCGAATCCGATCTCCCCAGAGGAGCAAGCCAACCCGGTGGAATCCAGGTGGAGCTTCTGTGTGCTTCTTCTCTCCCAAATGCTTGGGCATTCCTCCATTGAGAGAAGCAGCGCATAGGTGTTGAACACATGGAAAAACAGTATACCAGGGTAGTATAGTATGCATATTTTACAACCATATGAATATATATATATATATAACTATAAATCTACAAATATATGGTCTTTTGGAAGCATGCCTCGGCCTTGTAAAGAGAGAGCTTTGATGCTGGAACACCAGTGGTAACCGATCGATCTTCGCAGGTCATCGCACCGGGGTCTTCCCGAAAATGACCAGCATAGACGACCTACAGGAGGTACAACTTACCAGGCTTTGGAGCTCCAGGTTTGGATCCACTGCCAGATGGTGCATGAACCACTCCTTGTTCTGGGCACCAGGGTGACAGGGTGACAGGGTGTGCTGCAGGTTTTATCAAAAAGATCCGCAGACATTCATGTCTTTTCTCACCCAAATGCAGTGTTGCGTCCGTGTATGCACAGAGCTCCCAAAGTTATTGTCCAAAAGTCAGCTTTTGGGCAACTCCTGTCACCCAGTGTGTTGCCTATCTTTCTGTGGAGGATGTGGCGAGAACTGGGCTTCCTTTGACGCAAAACCCGTTGCTTGACCAAGACAGCTTGGTTTCATTCCAGTCATGGCCTCGTCTTCCCATTCTGATTCTGACCCAACTTGAAGGATTCTTCCCGTTTTGTAAGACTCGGCCAATGTCTTTAGTAAGTCGCCAGTCGCCCAGAAATCTGGGTCCCAATGCACCCAAAACCTTCGGTGCAGTCGCACACACCGCCTTCATGTTGCTCACTGCTCACCTGGCACGAACCTTCTCGATCGCTGCCTCCCCTCCACATCATCACAAACACCTGTGGCCGCCCAGGCTCGGACGCCCGTTTGAAGCAGGAGCTTGTCATCATCTGGAAGGCAAGCATCCCAGTCCGCATCCCAGTCGCTGCCTAACTCGGGCGACCAACTCGTTCCGCGGGTGGAAGTGGGGTGGTGTAGGCTGCTGTGGCGGTGGTCCCCAGGTCCGGTTTCTAAGTGCTTCATCGTTGCTAACTCCAAAATCAGGAAATGATTGCAACTGCCATTGGAGGTCTGATGACCCCATATGGCGTCATGCCACCACGGGGTTCGCCGGGAGGTAGAGATACAGACTTGGGCGGGAAAGAACCTCAGCAGTTGGTCCGGCTAGATCCCCTAAGATCAATACCTCTGTGTGTTCAAGCTCAGGTGCTCTATCAAAGCAGACATGTCACACCAAAGCTCCTGAACAAAATCACCGGTATTGAATATGATTTGTATTGATTTGTTGGTTTTCTCGGGGAATATTTGACCGGATGTCAATCCAGATTGACATTGGCTTCCATGGATGGCCAGGTGCGGGAAACCAATCACTCCTGCCAGTGATCAAGCAGAAGGTGTCTCAAAATGGACCTGGATACCCTCTCTCATGTAAGGCTTCGGAGTCTTCCACTCGGAGTCGTGCGGGTGCACGGTTCAGAGGGGCTCCCGGTTCGGTGGGGTCTTCCACCGCCTGTGCCGCTGAGAACCGTGGCCTCTCTCTCTGGCGAGCCGTCCCTATTGTTTGGCTTTTCTGGTCGTGGGACGGCCATTCAGCTTGAATCTGAGAGAGAAAAAGAGAGAGAGAGAGAGACTGACAGATGTTTCACTGTTCATTCCAGTCCTGCTTGACTGATTTGGGAAAATCCCGTGGAAAGAAATGGTGAACAGTCATACTGTCATACTCTGCACACGGGCCTCCGACGAGGTCGTGTCCGGAATAGAAAAGGTAAAGACCCTGGTCCCGTCAAGGTCATGATTAAACCAAGTATAACTACAATCAAGTCCTCTTCTGTTCGTCTCCCACTGCGCTCAGCGAATGGCAGAAACCAATCTCCAACTTCAAGCTGCCAACCACGCAGCTGAAATCCACAGCTCATTGATTGACTCCATTTCTTACTGAAGAAACCCCTCCACATCAACGCACCATGGCCCATATAATCTGCTTCTGGCCCGGCTACAAGAGGGCAAGTCCAGAGTCGCTTCGGTGATCAGCAGGCAGCTCAAAGCCACAGAGTGGAGGAGCATGGACGCACAGTCCGCGAAAGTCAAGCAGCACAGGACTGATTCCTCAAACCAGCCGCTGGTCCATTGGTGTCCTGTTGATTGACTAAACGTTCAATCACAATCAGCCCTGTGCTGTTGCGTACGTGGAAAACATCATCAAAAACAAGGAAGGGTTCGATACCTTGTCTCTGGGCCAAAATGGCATGCAAACACTTCGAAACTCTCCTGGTGAAGGTGACATCTTGCGCTTCAAATGCAGGTCTTCGAAGGTCTTTAAAGGGATATGGTCTATCCCATGACAACCCCACTGGACCACCAACGATTGACACTCGGGTTGACCACCAACGATTGACGATGGGAGAACTCGTTCTCTCATGGCAGTCTGGGAGGCAGGCTGAAACTGAGGTCCAATGATCTTTGTCCAGTTCTCCATCTTGACTTGCTCGAGTTCTCCATGGTACTCTTAGTCAAAAGAATGTGCAAACAAAGGAGGCATCTGTGCACAAACCTTACGAGTTCTACAGTAATGTCTTCCAAGAAACGACCTTTTCAAGATCCTTAAAGCAGCTTCTCTGAAGCATACAGTCATTGGATGATGCAATCCTAGTACCACTCGCTCACAAGTGTCTCCAACTGCAGAAGCTTCAAACACGTTGTGTTTCTCAGGCAACAAGCTCTGTCGACTCAATGAACCTCCGTCCCACTGTCGACCCAGGGTTCCGGCGGACATCACCCCAGGGCACCTTGATGCCAATCGTCACCTGGCGGAGATCGAGCCCGGTCCACACGGAAAAACGACGACCATGTGATGCCTTAGTCCCCCATGGTGTTCTTGGGTAGGACTTGGTCAGTTGCCTGTAGCCGCTTGGACAAACAGAGAAAAAGTCTTTCAAAGAACCAAGAAGAAGGAGTCTTCTCCAACAAGCATCACAAAATCACCCTGCCACATGGTTGCTCTGGTTCTTGGGCGGCCTTTTTCCTACACTCAACTTTTTGTTTCCATGTGAGCAAAGCGAATCACAGGTACCGTGCTGTTGACTGCGTGTCCGTTGTGGAAAGCGTGTCTTGTTGACTCCTTCCGTCGGGGATCGCCCACAAAGGCCCACACAAAGGCCGTCCATGCGCCCAGAAACACACGAAGGTCCACGAGCGGTGGTTTCCGCGAGCGATGAGCGGTTTCGGTCCTGGGGTTGCTTTGGAAGCACTCCAGGAGCAGTCCTGCGTACTTCATTCCATGCACAAGTATGTGGAAGTCTGCTGAAGTCCAAACAAGTACCTCCCCTTCCAACAAACCTCCAGGTTGTAGAGGCAAAGGATATTTCCAGGGGCCTCCACGTCACCATTCTTTGAAAGAGTCTGTGTCTCGGTGAAACATGGTTGACTCTCAGCAACACGAGGGTCGACAAGGGAGAACACGGAGTAACACGAGACCATGGGCGACCGTCGCCAATATAGAGAGAGAGAGAGAGAGCAATGATGGCACTGGGATGTCCATATTACGAACGAATCCCCCTTTCTGAAAGGGGACACGAACGAACTGCTGCACGAATCCCCTGGCCGAGGGGGGGGAGGTCCATGTTCCGTAGCCCAAGCTCTGTGACACCGGAGGTCTTTTTAAATCATGGTCCCTATATCGACGGAATTTTCATGATATTTTTGCGGTCGAGGAGATGTTTCATGGGATCAGCTTATCTTTTCATGGGATCAGCTTGTCTATGTATGAGGTAGATGTATGGGGGTGTGTAGAGGTGTTCACTTCAGAATCACCACAGCCAGGACCAGCACCATCCCTGACTGAAGAATACTGCCCCCTTCGGAACAGCAGCTCCGATGTCTCTGTCTTTTTGAGCCCTCCAAACCTGTCCTGCTGAGATGAAAGCACTTCAGAGGTTCAGATTGCATTGTTTTACATGTATATAAATAGAAGGCAATCTGAGTATCTGATTGGACTTTGGTGATGTGTGTCCTTTTCTCGCCGAAACAAACCAGCCGACGCCGCAAGCACCGACTTTTCCACCACTTTTCGGCATCGTGAATTGGCCCCGCTTGAGACCCGCCTTGAGCGGACACGGGGCAAAAGAGGTGATGCATTCAATATCCGATCAGAGCACCAGTCACACCAAACGGTGTCGGTAGCTCTTCTCGGGCACCGTGTATATACATGGCTCACATATTGCTGATGACTGAGCATCCACCTAAGCAAGTGTTGGGCGTCATATGTCAAGGCAAAGATGTCCGACACCAAGGGGTCATCAACTTGAGAGATACTATAACAAGATACATATATATATATATATATAACGAGTCTCTTTGACTGGCGAGGTGGGTGTCTGGGAAAACTTGAAAAACATGGAAAAAAAAACGAAAAAAACTCCGTCAGCCCGAGACCGAGTTGAGCAAATCCCACGCGGAGCGTTTTCACCGGACCAATCGATGTGTCACTGACCAACGCATGGGGGGCTGGGAAGACTTATGAAGAAGTTAGGCGGTAAGCCATTTGGCAACAACATTGAAGAAGAATCCGCTGCACAGTGATGTTGCTCATGGTTTCTCTGCAAACAACTGTTTGGGTGCAAACAGCAGTGGGTCTCACCAAGAGCCGGACATGGCACGGCCAACTTTGCAAGCCCAATAATCATCAGACAATACTGTCAGAAACCGATTTCACAGGGACCGGTTTCAAGGGTCGTGGTTAGAAGTTAAGTTGCAGTAGGCCTTGCATTCGCTCCTTCTTGAGGGTGTCCAAAAACCTCTCTTTCAGACATAAATTCTACGAAATCCACTCGACCTCCCACTCGACCTCCCACTTCTGGCCAGGCACCATGCGCCAAATGATTCACTTTGGCACGAGGGGCCGTGGCTTTCTCTAGCCAGCTGGGCGACTTGGGCGTTCGAGCCCGTGGTTCGCCCACTTCCTTGAAGTGACGAACACCCGCAACTGGCATGAAATCCAAGAGGGTGGATTTTGCTGGTAGATGGAAGAATTGAAGCTTTCAATCAGATTGGGAGATGAGTTTGAAGAAGGCATCCTTAGCCTTCGTCTGAAGGGGGTGCGCAGGTTGAAGCCACTTTTTGAAGTATTGCCATCGCCCTTTTGGTGTGGGCTTCACGCATCATCGAATCCACCACATTCGATGGGCCACTTAAGAGTTACTGGTGCCCGTTGAAGTTGATTCATTTTGCATGTGGGGTACGAAATCACCATAGAACGCCGATTTGCAAAAGTCAGCACTAAAGTCAAGACTGCTGGCCTTCCCCATTGTAAACGCTACATACAGAACAAGGTTCTCCAGATCCACCTTTCCAACAAAAGAAGGCTTCAACTGCAACTCACAAACACAAACACAAAAGTCCTTGCAGTGCAGCTGTGGCAACCAATCAAATACTGGGGCACCACGCCGCGACTAAGTCACGGCAACGTCCTTGCGATACTTGTTTCCGCATGGGGCACCGCGTTTCACCAAACAGGCCTGCCACCAAGCTTGATATCATGTGTCCAATACCCAGTCTGCAATGGAAGAAGCCTGCTATAATCATAGGGCGTGCAAGACAATGACAGGCAGCAAATGAGTAGGCCTTGTAGCCCAGGCCGCAGCAGCGGCAGCGACAAGCAGCAGCAAGCAGCAGCACCAGCAGCAACCAAGCAGCAAGCAGCAGCACCGGCAGCAATCAGCCAGCAGCAGCAGCAGCTAGCAGCAGCTGCAGCAACCAACCAGCAGCAAACCAACAGCAGCCAACCGCCAGCAGCAGCAGTAGCCAACCAGCAGCAGCAAGGCAGCAGCAGCAGCAGCAGCAGCAGAAAACCAGCAGCAGACCGGCAGCACCAGCGAAGGTAGCCCAATCAAGCTTTCCCCCAAAAGGGCACACCTCATCTGGCACAAGTTCATGCCACTCAATAGTGTGCCCGCTTCACAGCGGAAGCCAGGTTTCCACGAGGACCCTGCTTCCGAGGGTTGGCCCTATAAGCCCTTGGAGGGTTGGACATATGAGACCCACAATCCCAAGATGAAGGGAAACCTATGGGCTGCCTATAGAAACCTCTAGAAACAACCTATGGGTTGCCTGCCAACTTCCTTGCGGTAGGTCTTGTGCAATCAAAACACTCTGAACGCTGAGTAAAACAAACCCATTGAATAAAACCATGCATTTAGAAAACATCTTCCAGCACACTCTATCCTGCAAGTAAACGCTATGATGTTTCGACTTCCTGGTTTGCTCATCACCTGCTATCTGCTATTTGAACAAAAACACGTCTCGACTTCAACAACTGGCAGTAAGGGTACTATGGCCCCTATACAAAATGGCCAGAAGGGATTCACTTCTACCATCTACCTACCTAACTAGGGAACATATTATGGACAAAGAAAACCAGCTCCACAGCTAAGTACCAAACTGTTAAATCACTTCTCAGCATCCCATGGGGGCGTCTCACGGCTGAGAGCTCCGTGCTGCAGCACATGTGCTGGAGGTGAACAGCCAGCAAGGGCAATCCTGCAGGCACAGAGTTAGGCACAGGGGTAATTAGTGGTCCCCAAAGAGTATTCGTGGCACGGTGTCCAATACATTTTCTACTTGGGGATCTACATGACTCTACTTCTTTCTATCTACTTTAGGGGTGTATAGACCCGCCCATACCCGGAACACTCCAAGATGTGTTTCTAGACCCACAAAGGAGCGAGGCTTCGTTCGCATCGACAGATGGGAGGAGACTGGCAGCTGGAGACTGGCAGCGGATCTTTGAAGACGGTGCCGACACCGAAAGACCAAGACCAAACAGGGCATTGTTCCACCAATAGCTTTTGAAACCCGGATCCACATACCTGAGAAGGTGATTGGAGACTTTTTTGAAACCCGGATCCAAAGACCGAACCAGGTCGGCACGGTGAGCAGGGAGATCCTTTGATGTAGGCGCCAGCCATTGTCGGGTCCAGTCTTACCGAACCTGAGAAGGTATGTGGATCCATGATCCATAGGGAAAGCAAAACACACCCACCTTTCTCAGAGGGGGGGAAAAAGCCACCGCCAGTGTATCACCCACTCTTCAGCGGTTCCGATCCATCCAACGCCCCGCCCAAGACCTCCCTCGCAGCGCTCCTCTTGGGTTCGCCAACGCGTCGTCCCTTGGTGTCGTAGCTGCGATGGATTTCAGAGATGTCCAGGAAATGACCTCCCGAGCGACCGGTCGATGGGTCGGGTCAAGAATGTGCACTGCATAAATTACCACGGGGTTCTCTGGGATTACATGCCTTTTTCTTCAGTCCATTCGCTTATTGACTAGGGCTTTCTTCACTGGATTTCTAGATCTTTTGTCAGGATCCAGACTTCTTCCAAAACCCTGGGGGCGAATCCTGGCGGTTTTCCCCGCCCGCTGCGTTTCCTCCAAAGAAAGCGCCTTGGTGGTAGGTCTTCTTGGTATAGATGAGTCGTCCGTCCGAGCGGAAGTTCACATCAGGACATCTTCTCACCGGCACCGTGTTGCAATGGAAGGGACCCTCCATGGTCCTCAGGCCCACAAACCAGTCCTTGGCCCACGACCACCGCGTGGTAGAAGAATCCAGGAACGCAGGACGGGACGCGGGCCTTTTGGGGTGGGAAGACCGTGGACTGGCAGATGGAAAACAACCATGCCACTTGGAAAATGCAGAAACGTTGTTCAATGTGCAAGGATAGAAATAAGATGAAGAATCATGAGAACAAAATTTAGAAAAATTATTTTGGGGCACACATAGAATCCACCGTCCAAACAAAAACAATGAACTCCAACACCGCCCACTTGTGCCACCCTTTCTGCCTCCAGGACTCCGGTGTGTCACCCGACACGGCAGTACACTGGACCTCTCCAGGATTCACGCGGCCGTCGTAGCCGTAGCCCGTGTGGTTCTTCGCCTTCTCGAGGAGCCACAGCGGACTGACGCCCAGTCCGGGCACCGACCGCGAGGAGCGCATGGGGACCTCGCGCGGAGCGCGTTCTGCGGCGCGGTGGTGCTTCTTCTGCGGCGCAGCGAAGGCGGTACGGCCAGCAGCGTTCGCGGGAGGGACCGATGTGCTGCGGGCCGCTGCTGATGGAAAGAGCGGAAGACGAGCTCTTTGGGTGCCAAATAGGCTGAGAAGAGGCGGCGGAAGAGAAGTCTGAACAGCAAATCAACCTCACCAGGAGTTCCATGTGGTGCCAAACGAACGGAGGGTAGAGGTGTCGAGAACATCCACTCACTTAAGCA